ATGGGAATTTCCCAGAACTTTGATAAGCAAGGGTTTCTACAGATATCCTCTTCATATTTACTACTCATGGTTTCTGAGCCTCTTTTGATAAGCGATTGAGTGGGTTTGATAATGAATGAAAGGAAATCTCTTAGATTTGGGGTCTCTAGGGGTTTTGATGGTATTTTCTTATCTGCATTAGGGTCTGATTGCCCTTGTATCCTCACTCATCTGTGAAAAGGAAAATCATATACAGTAAGAAAATGAAGCATCTTAATTTAACAGCAAATTGCAAATCAGTTTTAATGGCACTGAAGTGAGAATTTGGTCTATATAAAATGGCATCAAAATCCATCTGCAGAATCTTTGCTGAAGGGAGATTCTTTCTAGGATTTGTAAGAGATAAATGTATTTCATCAAGGTGCTTAAACATTAACATCAAATTAATTGAAGTGTTCCAGAATGCTAAAACTTACTGAATTTTTTATGGAATCTCTGCTTTCTTTGTCAGAAGAGACCAGAAACCCTTACTGATCCCAGATAAGATAGATGTTTATTGCTGTGCATTCTCTTCAAATGCTTTGTCTCCTCAAAAAGGCTGTGACTGCTGTCAGGGCCTGGAGTCCTCCTTCCATCACAGCTGCGGCTGCCTCAGACCTAACCAGGGAGGCCGAGTAGCACCGTGGGCACGCAGTAAGTCCTTGGGTTTCATCTAAGGCACAGTGTTCCAGTGACTATCGAGCTCTTGGTTGAAAATTGACCCCCTGACTGTTTCTGCAGAACTTGAGCCAACAGGGTGAATGAAGTATGCATGGATTAGGAAGCTCTCTGCAACGACTGCGTCTCTGAGCTTTCATGAGACAGTGTGAAGGAGCTGGCTCATAGGCAAGGGGCCCAGGGAGGCCAGAGGTCCTCAGCTACCAAGAGCCCAACACCTAAAAGGCAGAGAAGTCACAGGGACACACTCAGGGCCCCTACCTGCTGGCCCATAGGGCGCCTTTGGGTGAATTAGAGTAAGATACCCTTTCCTCAACACACTTTATTGCCATCTGCTGGGCAGCTGTTGTAATCAATATACAGATTTCACGACAGCTGTGTGTGAGTGGCAGGCAGCTCCTTAGCCATGGTTCTGGCCACCATGTGCCCGCTGGGCCAGGCAAAGATGCCCAGATGCCCATGTTCACATTTGGTTTTGTTTACCAAATAGGGGATATAAAATTTGATTTTTTTTTCCTCTTTGAACTTTTTATTTATAAAGTTAATTATTTAAGTATAGGCTTTGGCTTTAATCACAGTTATTAGCATAAGAAACTATTTTTCTAGCCTGGCATCCCAATGGGAAAAGTAGGATTGGTGAATTCAGACCTTTCTTCATTTATCTTTGGATTATAATAAAATATTTTTAGGTAAGCCACAAAACCAGCAAGTGTCAATAAAAGGTGAAACAGACCCAGACTACTAATGATTTCATTACAAGGCTTTAGGATTACCTCAAGTGCCATCCCTGTTCTTCCTGTTCTACTTTAGATGAAAACACCCAAGACCTTGTACTAGAAGTAACTGGTCTTCAAACTTGTAGAGAACTGGATTTTTATTTTTCAACTTCAGGCAGGGCTTAGAATGGGGAAAGTAATTGGGGTTTATTCATTCCTTGGGTTCATGATCAATTTATGCAGGTTTTCAATTGTAAAAATGCCAGTTGAGTCTTTAATAGTCCTTTATATACTTAGGAATTTGGTTGTAAACTTGGCCTGAAATGCACCACAAGGCAGGGATTCAAAAGGGCTGATTTTCTGAATTCTCTGAAGAACTTCATTTTGGGGTGGATTTACTTGCAAGACAATGCCAGATGTAGCAACCTTCTTTAGAACAAGGCTTCAGACTGCTTTGCGTAGTGGTTTTTGAAAGTGTGCTTTTAGGGATTCATTTTCTTTATGTGTTTACAGCATTACTGGGGACAGTGATGACACAGGCCTCAAGTCATCACAGCAATTCCCAGAGTTCAGTGATTTGAGATGTGGATCTGTCTTTTTGGACCCTTGCTTGGGCCACTGGGTGCAGTTCACAGCCCAACCCATGGGGTTTCCCACCCTGACCTCATGGGAAGACACCTTCTTAGGCTTTGCTTAGAAATTAGACCAATGGCCCGGCATGGTGATGCAGGCCTGTAGTCCTAGCTACCCAGGAGGCTGAGGCAGGAGGATCACCTGAGCCCAGGAGGTCGAGGCTGCAGTGAGCTATGATCGCGCCACTGCACTGCTGCCTGAGAGACAGAGCAATACCCTGTCTCAAAAAAAATGAAAAAGAAATTAGACCAATGTTAATATTAAAGATCCAGAACTCCAGTCAGACTTATTTTGTTTGTTAGCAAAATTTCTGGATAGGATTTCTAGAAAATCCCAACCTGTGGAGTTGTTTTGTTCAATTTGATAAGAGGCCTGGACTGTTGTGGACTTCTCCCTCAAGCGAATAAACTGTTCCAAAGCTGAAGAAAAGAGGCTTTTGTTTGAAAACCCTGATAGCATGCCGGGTGTTGGAGCCCGCCGCTCCCAGCTGGGATAAAATGGCCCAGCAGCTTGCTAGCTGTCTCCTTCTCCAGCCTCCTCTCCTTTCTCCTCTCTTCCTCCTCTTTTTATGCACACATTCCCTTCTTTTTTTTTTTTTATCCAACCAAGTTAATTGCCAGCCTTGATTATAGAATAAATGAATGACTAGAAAATCATCTCAATTTTTAAAATTCAACAAAAAATTTATCAACAGCTAAGTGTCCAAGAAGACAGAATTTACATGCAAGGACCTCTTAGCCTTGTGCAAACACAAAACTGTCTTGCACTCTCATGCAGGGCTGTGTACTTGTGGATATGTGAGCCACCTGGAGCTAATACATATAGTTGTTAATATTGAGATATGCATACAAAGTGCTTGCCACCAAGTGACAGTGTGCCTGCTTACTCACCCTGCATCTATAGAACCATTGAGTGCTACCCCAGACCGTAAGAACTATTGATTTTGAACTGAAATAAATGAAATAAACAAACCTGTGCCTAAGTAAAGATCAATTTTCCAACTTCTAGCTTTTATATTCCATTAGAACTAAATTCTCAAGGGCCAGATATCTCTAAAACTCCTGACGGATTTTAAAATTTGTTTTTTTATTTCTTTAATGAAGTAGTTCCACTTTGTTGCCAAAAGCCATCTTTGAAAGAGGGTTCAAATTCCACATTGTGTCAAACAAGCATCCATGTGCCGGGTATAGTGCCAGATGCCTTACTTGTGTTAGGTCCTATAGTCCTATGAGCTGGGAATTGTTACCTCACTCCTTGTGCATGCAGAACAAGCTCAGAAGTATAGAAATGTGCCCAAGGTCACTTGTTCTTGACTAGCCTCCAAGCTTTCTCCTCTTCTCCACACCCACTGTGACAAGGAACCTGCTAGACAGAGGGCAAGCAGGTGAGCATGGTTCCAGCCAGTCAGTGCCTACTGGGCACTCACTGTGTGCAGGCACTGGGCCAGGCTCTGGGAGCCAAAGGCAAATAAGGCATGGCCTCTGCTTGGCCTTCAAGGTCCCCGCCTGCCTTGTCTGACTTTCTCCTGGCTGCTCCCCAGTCCCCATCCTGGACTCCAGCCAGGCTATGCAGTCGGCACCTCTACAGCTGTGTCACTGTGTGCTGGACCACAAGACAGAGACATGGAGAGGGGGGACATGAGGAATGTTATGTTCAGAGAGCCGTGAAGCCCCTGAAATTGGGGCCCTAAGTCAAAACATGTTAGCAAGTTAGCTTGTGGCCAGGTGGAAAAGGGCATTATCTACCTTATGAGGGAGGCTTTGGGCTTTATCTGGAGATTACTGTGAGCCCTTGGGAGCATAACCAGTATTTCCCCAGACCTTGGCAGCTGACAGACCCAAATAATGTCCTGAAAACTTGAATCCCTCAACTCTCTCATGGAACCCACTTCATAATGGCAGGTCCCTTAGCCATCTCCCCTGCCAGTCATGCCTCTGACAGTTATTTCTGGGGGCCCCCAGGGACACTTCCTGTTTGCATCCACAGCCTTCTCATGAGCTGGGCTCCTGGCAAATTCAGAGCTGAATCCTAGTGTGTCTGCAGGTTCAGTATATGGCAGGGGCTGTGGCTCTGCTCCTTGGGGCTACAGGGAATGTATTGAAAGCTCAGGATTCTGAGGGAACAGGGCACGACGGGAGTCTGTGCCCTCAAGGACCAGGCCTGAGCCCTGGCATGAATGAAAACTAAATATTAGAAGCTCATTGATTGTGTGTGTGTGTGTGTGTGTGTGTGTGTGTGTGTATGGTGTGTGAGGGGAGTTGAAAGAGACTGTGGCTGTCATGTTGGCCTTAGCTGGAGCACTCCTGGGCTAAGATCTCCAAACCTAGGGGCAGTAGAACAAGGCTGGTGGCATTGTAGATGGCAGGTTGTAGGACTAGAGATGGGAGGTAGGGAAACTGTTAGCAGGCTATTGGAGAAGTTCTAGGAGAACAGAACAGTCCTCTAAACAGTGGGGATTCAAATGGGGATAGATAAAAGAATCAGGAATTTCTTTTCTTTCTTCTTTTTTGGCTGGGGGGATGGAGTCTTGCTCTGTAGCTCAGGCTGGAGTGCAATGGTATGATCTCGGCTCATTGTAATCTCCACCTCCCAGATCCCGGTTCAAGCAATTCTCCTACCTCAGCCTCCAAAGTAGTTGGGATTACAGGCACGAGCCACCACGCCTAGCTAATTTTTGTATTTTTTTAGTATAGATGGGGTTTCACCATGTTGGCCAGTCTGGTCTTGAACTCCTGACCTCGTGATCCCTCCCCCCGCCCCCCACCTCAGCCTCCCAAAGTGCTTGGATCACAGGTGTGAGCCACTGCGCCTGGCCAGAATCAGGAATTTCTTAACCAATGGAAGCTGATCCTGAGGGTTCTAGTTCTGGTAATAATGAGGACAGAAGAGATGCCAGTGACTGGGGAAAAGGGTGAGATCAGGCTTTGCAAAGGGGATGAGTTCAGTTTATCCATATTGACATCTCAGCTCAAACATGGATTCCAGTAAATATCCCTACCAGGCACCAACCCTAAGGGCTGGAGATGGAGATCTGGTCATCGTCAGCACATTTCAAAAGACTCTGACCTGTTCCTCCAGCCCTGGCCCCCTCCAGCCCATTGCTCTCACTGCAGCCAGATTGGTTTCTCTAAAAGTATCTTTTTTGTATACCTGTGGCCTTCCTGGGCAAAGAGTCTTAGTGACTCTGACTTTCTGAAGTGTGATGGTATAAACCCTCAGCCACCAATGTCAGGCCGCCCTCAGCCAGTCCCTGCCTTTCTGGATCAGGACTGCTTTGATCACAAGTGACAGGGATCCCACTCATACTAGCCTAGGTCACAAGGAGAGCTTTCTGGCTGATGTAATCAGCTGGGGCTTAGGGATGTACATGCCCGGGGTCACTTTCCATCTCTTGCTCCTCTTCTCTTTGTTTTCTGGTTTGATTCTCTCAGCACTTTGTTCTACCTGGCAGGAAACATAGGAGTAATGCAGCTTCCATGCTTCAAGTCTCATGGTGTTTTCACTGGGTTGAATAGAGTATCTTCTTTGCTCACTTCCATCTAGAAAAATCCCAGGAAGAACTCTGATTGGACCAGCTTGGGACAGGGGCCCTTCCTGAGCCAACCAGCAATGGTTAGGAAGGTGGGCTCAGAACCACATGCTCGGAGTGAAGATGGGGCTCTCCTGGGAAACGGTGGGGTTGCTGGATCTATATAAAATACGTAACATAGCATTGTTGTGTCTTCACATGCTTTAGCCCTTTCCCCCTAGCCAGAACCTTCCGGCCAAGGCCAGCCCTTTTTGTCTTCCTTAGTTCAAATGTCCTAGATCTGACCCTCACCACCCAACCCTGATTCTCCAGATCTCTATCCTCCTCCCATCCCCATGAAGCTGTTTCCAGGACACTCACTCCTGGCCACAGTGACTTTTCTCATTTTTCCGTACGGAAAACCAAAGGACAAAGAGGTGGAGTAACTTGTCCTGGTGGCAGAGCTGGGAGGGACAGGGAGCAGATGGCAGGACAAGCAGTGTGTTTCTAGAGCTTGGGTTGCGTTAAATTGTTCTTTGTGTGCTGTCTTCCAAGGAGACTGTGCCTTCCTTGAGGGCAGGGACGAGGGCATCCATCCCCTGTGGGCAGCCAGATGCTGAGCAACTGTTTGGTCATGATGATGGATGGCCATGGGCCAGCAACAACCTCTTTTCACCCTCAGTTCCCAGGCCTGAGGATAGAGTCTTTCCTGGCGATTTGCACAATTTAAAATCCTGTGGGAACTAGGAAGCCTTTCTTACAGGCAGGGATGGAGTAAAATAATTATTAATTATAATGTAGATGCCATCTTTTTAAAAATTCTGCTGTCTCTTACATGTGAATGAGTGTCCTCAGCCTCCTCTGGGGCTTTCTGACAGATCCTCCAAGTGCATCCCAGTCTTGAGAACTGGAATCTCCTGGGCATCCAGGGCCCATTGTTGTGCCTGATTTGAAATGCAGGCTCATGCTCATACAGGAGACCCCAAGCTCAATCCCTCCCATGCCGGAATGGCTTTTCTTCCTTGGAGAGCTGCTGAAATGTGGGTTTCCGTGTTAATTGAGGTTCCCAGCACGTCCACGGAGCTGGCTCTGCGCCTCCAGAACGTGTTTTCCAATCATTTTCCAGGCCCTGGCTATTCCAGCCTGTCAAGACTGGACTTGCCGGGGCCATATGGGGCTGCAGAGATGTGCTTTCCAGATTCAGAGTGATATTTATGATTTCTCCGGGCCAGCCCCAGCAAGCTAGGGCTAGCCCCCTCCATGTAACGGAGCAGAGGTGCTGGGACAGGCAGGCAGTGAGTACGGATTAAAGAAACCTGTGGCAGGCAGCCTCCAGGCACTCGGCAAGCTCCAGGCTGCTTCCCTCCCAAACACTGGCCTCCCTCAGCGTCCTGCATCAGACCCTGAACACGAAGTCTGCTTATTTTATGGAAGCAGATTCGTAGCATCCTGATATGAGTCTGTAATGACACCAGTGCTGACTGCATGCCAGGGATGTTCTTGATGCTTTCCAGGTGCTCACCCATTTAATCCTTATTAACACCTCATGACACATTATCCTGCCTATTTTGTAGATGAGGAGCCTCAGGCTTTACAGTTATTGTCACTTGCCCAAGGCCACATAGCAGGTCCGTGGCACAGTGGCCTGTGGATCGAGGTGGATCTTAAACACCTTGCTGTAACAGCTTTTGATATGAGTTGAGGTCTACTAAAATGCTGGGGATAGGAAAGATGTTACTAGACTCAGATTTTCATGAAAAGCATCAATTATAGTAACTTATTAATTTTCGAACTATACTGCAATTTGGTTGGACAAGAGAGGGCCTCATCCACCCCCTACATTTGCCCTGTTTGTCAGTTTACCTACATCTCATCTCAGACCCCAATGCTAATGACTGGGACAAACATGAACCTTTCCAAGTAGGGCCATGTACAGTACTTACTAATTCTCCTTCCCTTCTCCTCTTTCTTTCTTGCTGAAGGCATGCCTATTATTTATGTATATAGTACCTTTTCTTACTCTCCCAGTCCCCCCAAAAGGACTACTCTTAAATTTCTTGAAGCAGAAGATATGGGCCCTGACTGCATGTTTGTCTCATCATGGTGTGGGTGTATTTGGTCCCTGGAATGAACCTGGCAAGATCTTTGGGCACAAGTTCTTGATCCAAAGCCCAGCAGCATCCCTTCCTTCGGCGGCTGAGCCCACAGCTGCTGTGTGGTGTGAGCCCAGGATGGCTGGAGCCTGTGCTGAGGCAGTGAAAACCAACCTTGCCTCTCCCACTCTTCCCTTTCTGCTACCTCCTTCCCCCGAAGACAAAAAGCTGGAAAAACCAGGAATCAGATGCCTTCTAGGAATGAGGTTCAAACTCAGGGGCAAATGTTAGAGAATCTGAACTTGGAGAGAAAGCTGTATCACTAGATAATGTGATCATTATTAATGTTTATTGCATTTATGTAAGCAAATGATTATTCACAAGGCTTGCTGTCTCTGCCTGGCAGTTGAAGAATGACAGTGCAGAGGGCCAGAGTCCTGCATTCACACTCAGTGTCAACTTTCTAAGAGAGCACAGCTGTGTTACCCATTTTGGGTGCCACAGTGGCTGCTGTCCCTTGCTGACAGAGGGATTGAGGATGATCTGAGTCCAGCCAGTCTTTGAAGCACATTGAGTTGAGAAGATGTCTACAAATGTGGTAGAGTTGGAAAAGAGCTAGGAGAAAAGGCTGTAGGAACTGGGGTGGATTTGAATGATGTGCTTGTCTTCTTTATTTTCCCAAGATTGGAAACAGTTGGAATGCCTAGGGCCTGACACCTTGTTCTGTCTCTTCTCATGCATAATTCTGGGCTATGCAGTTATAACAGTGCATGTGAATATTATGTGAATGAATACAGTACTTACCTCTTCTGCCCTTCCCTTAAAAAGGTAGTCCAAGGAAGGGCAGGAGGATTCTTAGGGCATTCGTAGAATAAATTAGAGCTTAGATCAATTAGAGGACACCAACAGCCACACAGACGGTATGAAACCTTTGCTGAAGGCAGAGGCTCTGTTGTGTTACCTTAAAGTGCTAGAATTTGCTTCATAGCCATGTCCTAAAAACTAGCCCAGGCCATGAACAAAATGGTTGCATTCAGGGAAAAATCCAAATTCTTCCCACATGGCAGCAGAAAAGTGGAAGGATATACTGTCACCAGTAATTCAGTTGCATGTGGGAAGCCTTCAGAATTTTGCCAAATATTGCAGACACACATGACCAGTCCTATGAAGCAGGAATCTCATTTCTAGTCCCCAAGAAGCACAGCTGTCACAGTGTTCTCAGGAATACAGATGGATACATTTTGCCACAATTTGTTATATGGTCACCTCTCACCTAGGGGTTTACAGTCCATCAAAGTACTTATCTATAGTGGCAGAATCATAGTTGGGGAGATCAAGATCTCATAAAATACAGGCAGCTGGGAAAAATAGTTGCATTAATATATGTGATGAAAGCAGTAGTGAAAGTTCTAGAAGGTATCCACTCCCAAAATAACCACTATTTAATCATGAGGTGGCCATATAAGGTGATCCTTTTGAATTGCTTTCTTTAGTTGTTTGGGAGACGTTGTCCACATCATCTGCTGAGGCAGAGGCTCCCAGCAGCAAACCTGGCTCTGCAGCATATTCGAGCCAGCCCTCACTGGCTGGAAATGAATGTCTTTTGCAATTGCTTGTTCACTCTGGGTCTCCCTCTCTCCCTCCCTCTCACTTTCCTTCCTTTCCCTTTCCCTCCTTCCCTTTTAAAATACAAGCCTAGGCAGTTGTGTAACCTTCAAACTTTTCATAAATTATGCAAGAGCTTAAGGGCATAGTTTTTGAAGTCCGGTCTTTCATCCCAAAGTATTTGAGAGCGTTAATCTTAATATCTTCATTTCTCTCTCTCGGTACTTTCCTGTAGTGCCCTACCTCCTATAGTACCCTATGATTCCCTCTCTCGAGTCCACTGGGGAAAGTGCAATAATTTAGGATTTTCCTGTTCTTCTCTTAGGAATTAGGAAGATAGCTGATTTTATATATTTTTTGTAACCAGTTTATAACAGCATTATCTCAAAACCTGGAATAAAAGATTGATACATGTAAAGAAAAAAAAAAACCCTTGCTGTTATGAACAGGGCTGAGAAAGGAGCCAGGGAGAGGGAGAGGTGGCTGAGTGTTAGGGCATCAGGGAGGAAGGAAAATGCAAAGATAAATATGGAAATAGCTTCTTGGAAATAAGCAAATAAATTTTCAATGAAGAACTATGCAAGACCTGCTGTATGTTTTCAGAGCTCTGTATTTTTAGAGCTCAGACCAAGAAGTGGGTCCAGGGTGCAGTTCAAAGGATTTAGGCTCAGCCTGCAGACTGCCTGTCAGGGTGACTAAATGGCAGTCAGGTCACAATATGGGTTAGGACTTAGTTCAGCCACCAGTGACCAGAACACCCACAAATCCCAGGCTTACCTAAGATAGATCACCTAGGAGACCTGGAGGCTGGCAGTCCAGGGCTGGTGTGTTGGCCCCTCGGTCATCAGGGACCCAGCCTCAATCAGGCCTTCCACCCAGCCATTCCTAGGTATGGCTCCCCACTAAGAGTCCAGAATGGTGTTGAGGCTCCAGCCATCAAATCTCAGCTCCTTGGTCAGAACCGAGTCCTGTGGCCACATCTCCCTGGAAGAGACAGAGATTGAGGAATGCGGTCTCTTGGCTGAATGCAGCATGCCCAGTGAAAACAGGGCTTCACGTAACTTGAGAGAGAAAGAGAGTATCTCCATTACTAAGCAAAGTCATCATCTTTTCTTATCCTGGGTATTTGTTTACTAAACACCCAATGCCTGATGTTTTCAGGCATTGCTCAAGGGCAGTGAGGCAAAGGAAGATGGATTTCTGTTTCCATAAAACTTACAGTCTAGTGGGAGGCAAAGCAGACAATAAATGAAAAATAAGCATGGCCAGGTTGACAACCTGCATTCCACACTCGAGCTATCTTCAGATACAACTGTACAATATTAATGATGGGAGCGGATGGTGTCAAACATCACCGTCTAAAGGCTGCGGGCATCCTGGACAGCCAGTGTCAGCATATCTTGATGCAAATTCCATCCTTCAAACACTCCCGAGTGAGTGCCTGCCCAGTGAGAAGAGGAGGAGGGAGTAGTACACAAGTAGTAAGCTGGAGCCCCATCTAAAAATCAGCCTGAGTCATTATTCAGTTAGTGTTCTTCATGGGCCAACGTGCAAAGAAACAGTAGAGGATAAGAATCTAGTCCTAAAATTTCAGGGCTTTTTTTTGGTGGAAAAGGATTTGGAGCTGGTTTTTTTGCTGAGGTGCAAAGTAGTCTAATAGGCCAGGCACAGTGGCTCACACCTATAATCTCAGCACTTGGAGAGGCCAAGGTGGTGGATGTATCACTTGAGCCCAGGAGTTTGAACCAGCCTGGGCAACATGGTGAAATGCTGTCTCTAAAAAAACTACAAAAATTAGCCAGGCGTGGTGGCACGTGCCTGTAGTCCCAGCTACCAGGGAGGCTGAGGTGGGAGTATGGCTTGAGTCGGGGAGGCCAAGGCTGCAGTGAGCTGAGACTGCACCACTGTGCTCTAACCTGGGCAACAAAGTGAAACCCTGTCTCAAAAAATCAATAAATAAAATAAATAAACATTGTTAAAAAGTAGTGTAATAAGTAATAATTTTGTGGCTCTCATGGGGGTTTGAAGGGCAAGCTGGGAAACGGGAAAATCACAGGGACACAGCCTTTTTCTGCTCATGGGACCTTCAGCAAGTGGTTCCTGAGCCTGGTCTTGCTGGAAACTGGGCAGGTTTCCAGGTTCAGTTCACATGTTGTAAGTGGGCTTGGTTCTAAATTAAACCTGGAGCCACTGCTGGCCACCCAGCACTCCCTGCCATGGCCACTGTGCAGTGCCGCAGACCAGTAATTTTCAAACCATCTGAGGTGAAGGACCAGGGTTGCCTTTTTAAATTTGTTTCAGTTTCCTATCTGTCATAAAAATGAAATATTAGAAAAGTGAAATGAAGACATAGACTTCTGTTATTAGATTCGAGAGACATAAAATTGCTTTGTCCATTTGCCGTAAAAGTTTCTAAAGACTGACAATTCCTGAACTTGAGTTTGCCAACAGCAAAGAAGTCAGGGGCATCACTACCAGCCCAGGGACTGTGCTTTGGGCCAGGATCTAAGGCCAGAAGGGAACTGCTGCCCTCCCCACTCCGTATCAGGACAGTCCTGAAGGAGAATGCAAAAGCTCCCCCGGGAAGAGAGTAGCCTGGGCAGCATGTGTCTTGCTGTCTGCATGTCTCTCTGGCCCTTCCTGCCCAGCTGCTTGGGTAGACTGGTAAAGGGAACTTCTTGGTGGACTCTCCTACCATAGTCTCCATGTGCAGGTAAAAATTTTATTACACACTTGTGGCCAGAGAAATGAAAGGTCACAGCTCTTTGTAATCATTATCCAGGCTCCCTTACCTGAATGCAGGCTTCAGCATAACTGGTTGTATTAGTGAAGCAGGCGGTCACCTCAGCTGGCATGGCCTGGCGTGGGCTGGGCAGGGGAGCTCATGGTTGACTCTGTGTTGCAGTTCTCCAAGGAGAGGCACATGATGGACAGGACCCCCGAGAGGCTGAAGAAGGAGCTGGAGGAGGAGCTGCTGCTGAGCAGCGAGGACCTGCGCAGCCATGCCTGGTACCACGGCCGCATTCCCCGACAGGTACCTGGTGTCGTTCCGTCCAGCGCACACGCAGCTACTCTCAGACAGTGTAGATTGATGACCTGCAGGGTCCCACTCCGAGGCCATGTGGGAGCAAGCTCCTGTATAACCAAAAACAAATACTCTAAAAATGACCTCATTTAGACCCTTACCTAAGAAGACCTTGGCAAGAGCTGAGGTCAAGAACCCAGAGCACACGTCCACATGTTCAGGAAGTGACGGGACAGCCAGCGCTCCTGGGGTCTGCAAGCAGAGTTGTGGGAGGCAGCAGCCACAGGGTCAGCAACCGGAAGAACTAGGAGGGAGCGCTGTGGCCCAGGTAATTGAACCCTTGGCCAGCTGCCAGCAGCCTCAAACTATTTGCAACCCCTCCCTCTCAAGGCAGCAGCTTAGCTTCAGGAGGAGAGAGGGCGGGTGGCCCAGACCAACAAGGCTGCCTGTGCCCCAGTAGAGCCAGCGTTATTCACCCTCTCCATCGCTTCCATACGGGATACCATGACCCAGAGGTGGGGAAGAAGGGAATTAAACCCATGACCACAGACTTGTGGCCCAGAATATACTGTGTGATCGTCATTTGGATGATTGCCATGAATAATGTTTTTTTATGTAATACTGTAAAAATGGAAAAATAGAATAAGTCTGCAGAATTGAGGCATAGAATTTCCCTTGGGTTTTTATTGTAAACCTGATCTGGCCAATCATTAACCAAAGACAACATTGACAGGAAATGTGTGGGCAGGGGCTGGGGGGAAGGGCATCATGTCATAAGCTTTTTTTTTTTGTTTTTTTTTTTTAAGACAAGAGTCTTGCTCTATCGCCCAGGCTGGAGTGCAGTGGCATGATCTCAGCTCACTGCAACCTCTACCTCCTGGGTTCAAGTGATTCTCCTGCCTCATCCTCTCCAGTAGCTGGGATTACAGGCACCCACCACCATGCCCAGCTAATTTTTATGTTTTTAGTAGAGACGGGGTTTCACCATGTTGACCAGACTGGTCTCAAACCCCTGACCTCAAGTGATCCACCCACCTTGGCCTCCCAAAATGCTGGGATTACAGGCATGAGTCAGTACGCCTGGGCTTTTTTTTAATATAGCAGATTTCTTGGCACAATCAAATAAATAATTCTTATTCTGACTTTGTTCTTTTAAGTTTAAAATTAATGGTAGAAAATATAGATAGCATAAATAAGGAAATTAAACTCTTATCTATAATTCTCCTCATAATTCTCCTGGAGATAACCACTATGAACACTTTTGTGTACATATATTCTCCGGGGCTTTTCAAAATCAAGTATGAGATTGTTCTGCATATACTTTTTTGGTAGCCCATTCTACTCACTTACTATGTCTTGGAAATTTTCACCCACTATAAAATATTCTTCTGTACCAGCCTACATTGTATGTCTGTCCATGGTATGCATGCATCACAATTTATTGGACACTTAGGGCGTTTCTAACACTGTGACCAACATCCTTTAAGGGTACTATGTTCATACCTATAATTATTTTCACAGGCTCAACAGGCCCAATTCTGGTTTTTTGTTTGTTTGTTTTTTTGAGACAGAGTCTTGCTCTGTCACCAGGCTGGAGTGCAGTGGCTCGATCTTAGCTCACTGCAATCTCTACCTCACAAGTTCAAGCGATTCTCCTGCCTCAGCCCTCTGAGTAGCTGGAACTACAGACGTGCACCACCACACCCAGCTAATTTTTGCATTTTTAGTAGAGACAGTGTTTCACCATTTTGGCCAGGATGGTCTCGATCTCTTGACCTTGTGTTCCACCTGCCTCGGCCTCCCAAAATGTTGGGATTACAGGCGTGAGCCACCATGCCCAGCCTTCACAGGCTCAATTCTAAGAAATGGAATTTCTAAGTGAAAACATTTTTAAGGCAAAGATGCAATTTCAAGGTAACCATGGTAGCCTACTATTTTAAGCTAACAGAAGTATACTGTTGATCAAATGATGGAATGTCTCAGAAAAATTGTCACAGTTATAAAACTGGTGACTGTCACCACTGTCCTTCTCCTTATCATGGCCATTAAATTTGTTTACTACTTGCCATGAGTATAAATTTTCAGCAATAAATCATTCCAAACTGGGTAACTGAACACTATAACCATAACCATAACAACAAGAGTTATTGCTAACATTTTAGCTCCTTAAATTTTTTTAGCCATCCTGTAGGTAATATTATCATTTGTGTTTTTCAGATAATGTAAATTAGCCACAAGGAGAGTATGTAATTTGTCCAGAGTCTTACAGCTGAGCCAGGATGCGAACCCAGCTGGTTGAGGCTACAGGAACAGCCAGACTGCACCACAGTCTTAATTCTCCAGTTGCTGTAAGCAGCAGCATCATGCGAGTTATTTTTGAGCATCCACTGTGTTCCAGCGCTTGCATGTATTATGTATACAAATGCATAACCCTTATAGTAACTGTGAGATGAGAGACCCCAGCCTGCTGGCCCGACTTAGCTCCAGGCCTTCTAGCCAGTAGTTGGTGTGTCCTGCACATGGACTCGTCCTCTGAGAGGGCTCCGAGGACGACTTCTAGACACCAACAAACACCCTCTTTCTCCTCACTCCACCTGTTGGGGAGGGAAAATCAGGCCTGCCCGACACAGTTTCTAATTTCCTGTTTCCTGGTGCATTACATCATTCAAGTCTATATACACGTCATGTTCTTGTGACACTTCCCCAACCGCCCTATTTTACTGGACAGCCCTCATCCCCTGCCCAGCACTTCCTGTCTCCTTTCCTGATTTACTTTTTCCCTGACGTTACATCTGACATACCATAGCCATTGGTTATTTATTCTCACTAAAACAGAAGCTCCCCACCAAACACAGGAGCTCCATGAGGTGGGCACTTGTGTGCCATTGTCGCCCCTGTAGTGGTGCTTGGCACAAGTAGGCTGTCAGTCAGTAGTTCCTGAATGAATGATTGGATCTTCTGTGAATTTGACCTTTGAAAAACTAAACAGCTGACCCAAGAAGAAATAGTAGCATTGCCTTCCGTTGGCCCAGAGAAGTGGGTAGCCATAAGCTTTTGGAAGGAATGTGATTTTGCCTTTCCTACTCCTCACTCACCTTTTTGTCCCAAAGGTGTCTGAAAACCTTGTGCAGCGAGATGGCGACTTCCTAGTTCGTGACTCTCTGTCCAGCCCTGGGAACTTTGTCCTAACCTGTCAGTGGAAGAACCTCGCTCAGCACTTCAAAATCAACCGGACAATTCTGCGGCTCAGTGAGGCGTACAGCCGTGTGCAGTACCAGTTCGAGATGGAGAGCTTCGACTCCATCCCCGGCCTGGTGCGTTGCTATGTGGGCAACCGCCGGCCCATCTCCCAGCAGAGTGGCGCCATCATCTTCCAGCCCATCAACAGGACGGTGCCCCTGCGGTGCCTGGAAGAGCGTTATGGTACCTCCCCAGGCCGGGGCCGGGAGGGCAGCCTCACCGAGGGACGGCCGGATGTGGCCAAGCGGCTGAGCCTTACCACGGGTGGCGTCCAGACCCGAGAGCAGAATTTGCTCAGGGGAAACCTCCTCAGGTGGGTCAAGGCCTCCTCTGCAGTTGGCACAGGACCATGAAAGGCACCAGAGGTGCCCAAACTTAGGCAGATGAAGAATTCATCATGGAACAGAGAAATAAACGATGTTAATAGGAATGTCGACTGTTCACGGAATAGCTGTTACGAGGCATTGCACTATTAGCTCCCAGCTGAGCAGGGCCAGCAATAAATGGTACAGGAGTTGAGGAAGGACAGAGGGGGTGGCAACAGGGGAGACCTTGTGAAGGGGGGTTAAGCTTGGGCTAGTCTGATGGCTGGAGAAAATTTGGATAGAAGCTGCAAAGGGCAGGGGCTGTTCCAGGTGGGAGGCACAGCCTGGGCATAAGTCTGGGGATGGAAAATGGCATGATCTTGGAGTGAGTGTGCTGGTGGGGCTGGAACAGAAGGTCTGTGCAAGGGACCCGTAGCAGTGGGCTTAGGGAGTTAGCCCCAGCCAGATCGTGGGGACCTTAATGCCAGGTGCAGGGCTTTGAGGGAGCTGCACAGACTCAGCAGAGTGAATGCAGATGTCCTAAGAATAGAAATGGACAGCAATGTACTGGGAGCAAGGAGTGAGACAGGAACAGGAAAGCCAGTTAGTGAATCATGGAGGGGCCTGGCCCCCCAGGACTCTAATGCATGTGGCGGAGTAGGAGGAGGGCATATTGGAGACAACAGGAGTGACCAGGAGGGAGGGGACTGTGGAGGAAAAACATGCTTTTTCATCTGAGCTGGAAGACTATGGGCTTGAGTGCCAGAGTCCAGCAGGAGTTTTGGGGTCCAGGAGGCCATTAGGGCTGAAGACTTAATTTAGGGCTTGGTCCACATGGAAAGGGTGGTTGACTTGGTGAGAACAGATGAGATTTCTAAGATAGGAGACGCAGAGAGCATGGGGGCTATAGTGTGAACCTTGGGGAATGGGGGCAGAGAAGGATTTAGAGCACTTGGTGGAAAATCAGGGCTTCAGAACATCGCTGAGCCTCGACACCCAGCTGTCAAATGTCAGCAGTGGTGGCCTGCATTTGTTTAGGGCCTGTCTTTCACAGAGCTCAGGGTCCTTGTGCACATCATCTAAATGCACTGGGAAAGGAAAGGAGGGAAAAGGCAGGGGTCAGTGACATAGACCCAGTCCAGCCCTCAGTCACACAGCAGCCCTGCCCTGGCCCCCCAGCTTCTAATCTTATGCACGTAAACCAACATATTGTATTCTACTCACTGATTTTCTTTTTGGTCCATGAGGAAATGTCATAAACTGTCATTTCTATGCTACAGAACTTGGGGAGAAAAATACAGGACTCTGTGTGGAATGCAAATGACAGCTGTGTGCTG